GTCATTTTATAACGCAAAGAGATGAAATGATGTAAAATAAAATTGCAAAAGCTCCTCTCCAATTGAAACGTAAAACTTTATAACTGATACATTGTGTTCCATTTGAATTACTGTAAAAGAAATTTCGACACCTAGAGCAATTAAGCTGATTATAAGTTGTACTGATACTATACTTAGAGCACTTTCGGCAATTCCAACAACATGTCCACAGTTTCAGAGGTAAGCTGGAATCATGATTTACGCGATAACCTGGTTTACAATCCCTACTACAACGTGATGTTGGAGTTTTATTGCTATTCCAAACTATTTTTGTGGAATTAATCGTTAACCCATTTTCCTTACTCCAGTTACCGACTACAATCGGACTTAACGACTGCAAGTTATTAATGTATACATTTTGATAATTAACAAAGTTAAATCCAGTTCCACTAGAACCGTCACTGTTAAAATGTATTAAGTCGCTACTAACTCCTTGAAATTGAATATTTCTTAAACAATGATTTAACTGTTCTCGGTCACGATTAATTTCCATTGCATTAAGAGCGGGACAAGATGTATTAGTACAGCCTAATTTATGATGTAAAGAATACGCCAAGGCTAAAACTGCGTCCATGATAAAAGCTGTAAATGATTGCGGTACGTAAAAAGTTCTTTTGAGAATCCTTGCCATTTGAGGACCGTATTTACAGTTAGCTGTAGCCGATTTTGAAATTTCTTTCCGTGCATCAAATAACCACGGATTTCCATGACTATCGCATAAATTAAGTTTACGTAAGTAATCGTCAAAGTGGCGTATTATTTTTTTATTGACGTCGATACTAATAGCGCCACGGATAATATCGCTGCTAATATTTGCTATTTGTGCTTCGGTTAACCAATTATAAGTACCGATCCATGTTATTCCAGTAAGCCTTTGCGATTGAGCTTGCTTAAGTAACGCATAGATGATCTTATTATTACCTGTTAAAATAACGACTTTAGATTTAATCGTTTTCTTCAGATTTTGTATAGCGCTAATCATATCAGATTGGGTATAATTATTAGATATTACAATATTATTAGCGACACATATTTTCTTAAATGAGAATTGGCGTAATAATGTAGTGCTGAATTCTTTATCAATAGTAGAGCCTGTAACTATTACTGAAACCCAATTCCAGTTAAAGTTACTAATAATATCAGCAATAGCTTCAGCTTGCTGTTTATATGATATAGACGTGCGATAGAAATAAGGACACATAACACCAGAGCTTAATGCAGTAGTACGTGAATTATAGGTAATTTGGATGACGCGAAAGGAACTTGTATAATAGGCCAAAGGAATAGTAAGATGGTCAGAATCTTCACCAATAACGCCGATAATTGGCGGTTCCGAACTAACTGTATTATTTAAGTTATACTGCAGAGTTCGGACAAAAGGATCAAGATTGGCATAATTTAAATTTCGGCTTGATAGCAGTTGAAAAATGTTAGACTTTCTGAAATGATATTCTAATGAAGCCATAGCAAGTTCTCGCGATTTACAGGAATCAATCAATGTCCAACCAACTTTAAGTCCAGGTAGTAATTTTGGATTTCTATTAACTAGTTCGTCGATCGCATAGATCATAGCTTGCATTAGTTGTACATTTTTTAGTTCACACTGGCTGCAAAGCTTGGTTGTCTCGTTAAATTGTAAAGAATTTGGGAAAATACCAATTATTTGAACATTTCCAAATTTTTGGCTGTAAACTGGAGCTCTTTCATTTTTCAATGTCACGTTGCTGACTAGGCTTAACAGAAAGACGCTGTGGAAAAATATATCTTTTAATTTCAATAATATAGCCATGCTGTCAAGAAGATCTATAGACCTTAACGACACTAGTTCTAGTCGATCTTTGTTGCAGGTTTATATTTTTTCCGCTGTAATTTTGCCGCAACTTTTAAGTAAAATAGTAAGAAATACATAAAATTGTTCCAAAAACAATGAATTATTCTTGCATTTCATCTGCAATTTATAGCATTTCTAACAATTAATGTATAAAGAACAATCGTTGTATCTTATTCCTTTATGTATCAAATCTTCAGTACCATTTGCTATTGTAGTATTACTTTAAGATCCGATCATAAGTTCTACTCCCAATAAAGAATTTTGATATTTCAAACTTAAGACACTTTTATCTTAAGGACTTACTTTAAATATAAGTCACGATAAAAATTTCGTCGCCTGCTAAAACTACAACACCATTATTTAAATTCTATCTTTTACGTTCTTCGATATGGTGAGATGAAATTTTTTGTTTCAAAGGTAATTAATACCCATCTTCAATAATATGAAGAGAATTTCAATTTTGAGGCTGGTATATTCAAAGATTTATAAATTTTAGTTGTTGGGAAAGCAATTAGGATGTAAGCAACTCTTTTCATGTATACAATTAACAGGAAAATGATTATTTCAAGCCGGCTTATTTTATTCATATCGTTTAAAAAATAAATATTTGATGTTGTTATTGTAATGCTCTATCAGTACGTTTTAAATTAGCTTTGAAAATTTGTAATTGCTTACACTATAGTTAGACATCTACTAAAATAGTATTATTGCATTCAATACTGTTACCACTAATCAAAGCCAAGCTGCTACAATATATTGAATATCCTAACAGCCAGTGCTAACAATTAGGAATCAA